CTCGAGAAAGCCTAGGTGAGGTACTACCTTCATTGATTTCAGGTGATTTCAACAGCTCGAATTGTCCTTAAGATGAACAACATGAGTATACCGTGCGCGAAGTCTCTCTTGTATATAAGGTGAGATTATTTATTCATTTATTTTTTATTTATTTATCTGTTTATCTGCCAAAAGACATGCCGTCTTACGAAGGCAGATCATATTGAACAAGCGAGAGAGCACGAGGGGGCATGGGCTGGAGCACAGCCAGGACGACCTTTTCCACCAATGTTGCTATCCTGGGCAAGCAGCAACTGTTGAAAAAGGCTGCCTGGCTGCTCCTATTCCACGCTCCCTCGCCTTCTCTCGCTCGCAAGGATAACGGCTGTGACGGGCTTCAACAATAAGTAACCCAAGGAGAACCGGGTTGGTTCTTGCACCTTTTGCGCGAAAGTGTTGAAGCCAAGGTGCAGTCTGCCCTGATAATGTGGGCTGAGCCAGCTCTCCTATTGTTCTAATTGAAATTAGTGAACCCTCTCTTCCCAAAATGATTAAGAGAAGTGGAGCGCCAGCTAGGAAAACCTAAAGAAGGCCTGACCGGTCCATGTTCTCAGCAAGGAATGTACTTTTGAAGGCGGAATGTTGAAATCAGCGTCATCAAAATTTGTCGTGGAAGTGGTACTGGGCCTGATGGACGGGGCTCGTCGCACGTTGGGGAACCCCTAGCGAAGATGTTCGTATTGCTACTGTTCTCGCTTTTTCTGTTTCACGTGCACTACATAGAGACCCATCGACGGCGCCTTTTCAGGGGAAAGAGTGGAAAATTTTTTGGAGAACTGGGAAAAAATGTTAAGAGGTAGGGAGAATTTGGGGTGGAGGGGGGGGGTTACACACCTGAGTAAAATACGACCATCTGAGAAACCCCAGGTGGTCGTACTTTGCGAGACTTCCCCTTCTGGCTCCGCCAATGGTGGCCCCTAGCGGCCGTGCTACAACTGCACGTAAGTCGGTTCAAGGTGGAACTTCTAAAGAGGCTCCTTCTTGGGCGGCAGTCGCCCATATCTAGCCTTTTCAAAAACAGGTGTGGTTTGGAGTTCATGAAAAATGCTTCAGAAACGGTGCCACTGATCAATCGCCTGGGTTTGCCACCTTGAACGCTGACTCTTCGGTTTGTGACGAATTCCCAATGCCTACGCTTCGATCTCATGGCAGTCGGGTTCTCCTGAGACTGCAAACCACAGACTCGTCCAGGACATACTTCAACATCAGCTATGAACAAATAATTTCATGTGAGGCCTTTTGACTCATTTTGAGCCATTCTGCCATGGACAATTATCCTTTTCAGCCTGTGGTGGCCATGTCGAAGGTATATCTGGATCTATAGCTGCACCTCAGTACCCGCTGAAGGACTCACGTGGTTTGGATTGCACATGGACTGTAGCCGTCGCGTTAGGTGGGTTCATATACAGTATTCGATACCGTAGCTGGGGCTCACGCAGCACACGCAAGCAGTCCAGCGCTCTGCCTGTTAAGGATGTAAATGACGTGTCATTGACGTCACACACCGCGTTGATTACGTAACTTGTCACCTGATCGGCTGATTCTTAACAGTCATTGTGGGCTGTGCCTTAACCACCTCGTGCTATGCATGCCCTCTCATCGTTTGAAGGTCCGGTCCGCGCTGATTGTGTTGGCAGGGCCAAGGCTCTCGTTTCGCCATCTTCATGGGTGCGTCCCTCTTCTTCTCCATAATTACGAGGAAAGAAAGAGCACGCTAATCAGAAAATGTTATAGCAGGCCTGACCCGCCTATGCGATCAAAATAGACTCTCTTTGAAAGAAGGAATCATGATTGATCCTTGGGAAAAATGCCATCAAAAAAAGAGTAATCCTAATTTTCAGGCAATCACGTACGCTTTTCACTCGTGAACATCGACGACCTGAAATCGAGTGATGATAACGGATTCTGTGGCATGTTCGCAGCTAATCGGCTTGATGTAAGTTCCACAGAATGGTGGATCAATGAAATCTCATGATGATGAATATTAGAAAAATATTTTTTTCCTCCCCTCAAGGGGTACCCGTGCTCATTGTCACTCACTCAGCAATACTTTCTTTCTGCTTCCTTGATTTTGCTTGTTTTCTTGCTTACATGAAAGCCAGTTGGCACGATGGTTCCTGCAAATGCTAAGTGGGGAAATGCGAAAGAACGGAGTGAAACGGTCAAAATCCTGCGAAGAAAAAGCCTCCGTTCTCATGACTTGAAAATCGATTTCGGACGAGTTTCCCGTAGGCATCTTGCCAATCACCGCTACCGAAGATACGGCTGCATATGTGTACCCATGTATGCATGCAGCATCACGGCCGCTTCATACCAATCCCTTCGCTTCATAATTTGCTTAGCAAATGAATGAATACGAGCGTCAGGAACGGTCGTCCATTTGTGGGCGGGCGTTTGGGTCGGTATGTTGTGGCTTGATAGGGCCCTTATAAGGGCACCTTCCTTGGAGAAGCCGCTATGCAGCGCCTGCTCAGGGTCGCGGAATTCCGTCCTGCCAGGCGTATTGATCCTAGTCGTCTTAGGGGATTTATCGTGCCAACTGCCTTTAGGTTCTATGTTCCTGTAGGGTTCACGGCTGATTTTACCTTCTACATGGATACGCCTTCACGAGTTTTACTCACCCAGTTTAGATGTCTGTTTTCAGGTTCTCGACGGTCCTCACAGCGATGCCCGTCTCATGCGCCGATATTGTCGGAAGGTGGTTGGAGCTGAACCATTGACGTCTGACGACCATGAAATCTCAGTTCGTTACAAACAACACGGAGGTCCAATGCTTGGTCCACTCTACGGCTTCATGGCCCATTTCTCCACTGGTAACGCTCCTATAACTCTCGCGACATATTTTCATTTACTACAGTCTACGTCGCTGCTGATGAAGGGGCGTGTCAGTGGGACAAGTTTGGCGCGAATTTGGCTCGGTTTTTTTTTTTTTCGACAGTGACAAGACTGTCACATCTTCGTATCAGTCGTTTCTCACCAGTTATTGCTTACCTGTTTCAACAACTGGTGGAAAGCAGGCTGGCGGCGCGCCAAACCCAGCCTCACTGACACGCCCTTCATCCGCGGCGAAAAAGGCTGCATTGATCATGTTTCAGTGTGCACGGATATTGTTCATACTGACTTTACCGGATCGATTCAATCACCTGGTTACCCGAATAAAGTCTGGACAAGCCAGTACTGCTCATGGACCATCTTGGTAAGAGAAGGCAAAATCCAGGATGATCGTGTGGGCGGGCTCAGTCTTACAATCAAGCTTCCTCTTAGATGTGTTGTCCCATTCAAGGATGATGAAGAGGAGGAGTGAGCCTGACCCCGCCTACACGACTAGGTTGTGCCTTTGAAGGCCACGTCAGAATTATTCCATATTGCTTACGCGCAGGTCCCACCTGGAAATCGTATTCAAGTCAACTTCCACAACTTCGTCATCGAAAAACGTTTCCGCTACGGTGGGGTTCCTGGGGTTTGTTCAGAGAATTGGCTCAAGGTATGTAGTCGATCGATTATTGATTAGTGCGATTTTTCACAACGATTTCAATAGTTTGGTGACGACGAAGTAGATTCGGCTACCGTGAAGGAAGGTAATGCGATTAGACAGGTGTTCAAACTGACGGAAACCTGTTCCGACGTCCTCAAACCAATTGTTGTTAAGGTACTGTAGGTTTGAATTCTGTGTAGTTGCGTACAACCCCCATATTTCTGTTATGCCGAATGCCTTATAGAGTAAGCACAACGTGCTGCATATCACCTACCAGTCGAAGAAACTCGAACAGAACCGCTTTTGGCTTACATGGACCACAATTGGTACGTTCATTCAGCTGCTGACCGTATGAAAATCGATATATTGATTTTTCAGGCTGTGGTGGAAAACTAATCACACCGTCAAATATCCTCAGCCAATATTAATCACACTATGCGACAACATCTTGGATTGTTCAATGCGCATGGCAAATTAAGTGTATTTCTATAGAGGCATTGCATTACTCACCTGAGTAATTTTTTTCAAACGTTTAATGTCAAGGCGCTGCAAGCAGTTTCTAGCAAAATCCAGCCTCTCTCAAGACTTCAGTGCACATTTCCACGTTTGTTGTGGCGGGGTACGGAAACTATTACTTTTCCCCACTGTCATGTCCCTCTCTTTCAGATGCATATAAATGGACGGCGCATAATTTGCGGAGGACTGCATTGGGTATGTCTGCTCCTCACAGAGTCAATTAGATGATATAGGAAAGCATAGCTCAAGAAAGAATTCTAAAGGAACCCCTTAGCGGGTGAGTAGGGTCTTGTTGACCGCTGCGTCACCCCTTTCCCCCTTATAAGTGGTTTCCTCCTCTTTACCGAACTGGAAATTGAGGGCTCATCAACGAGAAGCGCGCTCTTGTTCAAATGACTCCGCCCACCTGAACACTGCGGAATTTGCGTTGAAGTGACGTCACCTTCCATCGAAACCTTGCAAAATTATGGAGTATGAAGAAAGGCCAGTAGGCTTCAAAGACGTGGCTCACCGTTGACGTTGTCCTTTTTTAAGGCTCCCGTGGGTAAACGGATTCTACTCGATGTGAAAACTCTGTCGGTTTTCCAAAAATCGGATGTCAATTGCCAATACGCAGATAACATTGCCGATTTCAACGGAGTGGCGGTATGCTTTTAATAATTTTCTTTCATCACTAAAAAAATCATTTTTATATTTTCAGATATTTGCTGGTAGTTCAAATCGTTCGGGTTATCCACAAAATACGATTTGTACAAGCACAAAGGATTCCGTTTATCGATCACATACAAATGAACTTGTTTGTGATGCTGAAGGTAATATTTATGTGAAAAGGCAGTATCTCATTTTCCTCTACCTTAAGACCCTCCTCAGCCCTTTTTATAGCGCGATTCTATTGCCAAACTGACAACTCGTGAGGATTACCAAATTGCTGGTTTTTTCTCAGTTGACGGCCGACGGGGGGGGGGGCTGTCAGTTTCAGTTTCGGTGCCGTTGGTCCCTACAACGGCCCTACAACTGTGTCGCTCAGTGAAAAATGTAGAACTCAGGCTGTTTGTAGCTCATGTACCTTCCGACAAACGTCAGGGCGTTGAAAGTGCAGATAGTCATCCTAGTCTTGGGAAGCTCGATTTTTCGTTGGTCCTGAGATGCTTGCAGCCCCTCCCGAGCGGTCACAACCAACGCCGCCCTCTTGCTGGTTCCAGGGGTCAACTGATAACCCGACAAGAGCTATATCCATGTTGTCAGTTTATTAATTGACCACGCGTAGCTTGCCAGGCTAGTGTGGTACTT